AACACGGTCGGTGAGGATTCATTAGAGTTGACCCCGATTTGTTTGGGTTTAAGGTATAGTAGATGTTGTATTCAATATGTTGAGCAGAATCAATTATTTTTAAGTCTAATAACTATGGCCAAAAGAGGATACAAGAGAATCAACAATCTAAGCTTCAATCCCGACTAATTGGGGAAAAAATGAAGAAGCATCAAACTAAGTATTTTCAAATTATTAATTTTTACGATTTGTAGCCTCCCTTGTTTTATTTAACTTTAAAGCCTTGGGGTTCCAATATGTATCAATTTAATGCTTCTCTTTGTGGTGAATATAGATGGTGGCCACCCTCCACTGGTTATGAGATTAGGCCAGAGAGACAGCTTTGAACTGAATGGATCTTCTGATGAAGTTGAGCACATTGAGAAGAACGTTGCATCCATTGAAGAGCTGAGACATAATGGTGAACCGGTTTCCAGCTTCCATGAGGAAAACAGAATAAGATTCTTGGAACGAGCCTTAGAGCACGAACGAGAAGCTCGAGATGCTCTTTGCATTGAGCTGGAGAAGGAAAGAAATGCTGCTGCGAGTGCTGCAGATGAGGCTATGGCCATGATCTTACGTCTACAAGAGGAGAAGGCATCTATTGAAATGGATGCCCGGCAATATCAGAGATTAATTGAAGAGAAATCTGCTTTTGAAGCAGAGGAAATGAACATTCTAATGGAGATCCTGATGAGGACAGAGAGGGAGAAACACTTTTTAGAGAAGGAACTTGAAGTATATAGGCAGATGACTTATCTCGGAAATGAAGAATCAACAGTTGATAGTGGGAATGTAGTGGATGCACTAAGACGTCCTGTTGCTTCATCTGATCTTAATGAGGATCCACTTCATATGCTTCATCAGATTAGTGCATCTTTCAACAAGAGGACTGTTGTAGAAAATAGGGACTCCGAGGAGGGCATTTCTCTTGATAAACAAAACTATATTGCTTTAGGGGGAGAGGCACCGATTCAAAGACAGAATAAAGATGTCAACTCCCAGAAGCAAGTTGACTTAGTAGAGCATTCTTGCAGTCAAGAATTTCAGGAGAAAGAGATGGTTTTTATGGTTAACCACTCCGATGTGGCACCAGGGAATGGGAAAATATTGGACACATCCTTGAAACACTGTGAGACAGGTCTTTCGGAACAGAAGCTTCCTGATCAGGCCATTTCCCTAGAAGGGGAAGTGCTAAAAGAAAATCCAGATATGGAAACAAGTGACAGAGCTTGTATTGATGTTTCTAGAAAAGACAAGTATTTGAAGTATCATGAGACAGTTGGATATCAGGGATCAAAATGTCCATGTAATTTGACCTCAAATAAAGAACCTCGTGTTCACGATGTTCATGTCATTGTCGATGGGTCCAACTTTTGCAATGATGTCAGTAGTGGTGAATCTAGGAAAAGTGCATTAGAATTTTCTGGAAAAACTAGTCTCCCTATTGAAGCTTCTCCTACACAGGATGTTATTAGAGATCGTCCAAGTACTAGCACGTTGTATACTCAAGTGGATCTTAAAATCGGTGCAGACACTACTGGTGGGCTTCCACCAGTGGGCTCATGTGGTAAACCTTTGCTATGTGATTCGCGGGGAAATTCCATATCCTCAGTAGACAATGAAAGGCTGAAAATTGAAATGGAAGTGGAGAGGCTTCAAGAGAGAGGTTAAAGATTGTGCAAGAGGGAAGAGAGAAACTTGACTTGACTGCAGAGCATGGAGAAAGAGGAAATATGCAGTTAAAACTTTTGGAGGATATAGCACACCAACTTCAAGAGATTCGGCAGCTTGCTGAACCTGAGAAGGCTGTACGACAGGCTTCCTTGCCCCTGCCATTCTCTAAGGTATGAGACTAGCAGGTTCATATCCATTGTCTTGTATGGTTAATAAGTTCATACATACATCTCTTAATTATATGCATTTTTCTTCAACTTTGAGGTTACTCTTATTGTGCCAAGAGCATGATGAGCGTAGAAATGTTCAAATCACTTTTAAGGTTGATCTTCATATTAACATTGTCCTTGCATTGTCGCCGGAATGTGATGTATACATGAATGTCAACAAGTCATCATGTAATCATTTCTGTGAAAAGATGAACTTTTTGAAGCTGCTCCAGAATTGAGTCTCGTAATGCCACTGGCATGTGTTTCGTGTAGCTTGGAGAAACAGATAGCAATTTGAGAATGATTTCCTAGACTCTATGAGCTGAATGTTATGTTGTAGCCTTTGTAGTTCTCCTCTTTTTTTCCTAGACTGGACTTAAACATCATTGGACACTGGAATGCATTTGGAATCTGGTTATCATTCGTTAAGAAAAAAGTAGTAGGAAATATTTGGGTGACTAGAATGATTATTACTATGAGTCACGTCTTTTGGACCCTGTCCGATCTATAAATTCTTCATCATTGACTCATTTTATTTTGGAGTACCAATTCTAAGATTTGTGCTCTCAAGCTCTGTTGCGTTCAACAAAACACTTGCTTTTGTTTGTTTGTCATTTGAGATCAATTGTATTTGTTAAATGAAGTACCAAGAAAAATTGATTTTTTTTTCCATCATCATAGGTGACACTCATATAAGTTGCAGTTAATGGGTGTCTGGCAAGTGTAACTGTTTAAAACGAATAATCTGGAGTAGACTGCGTAATGATAGATCGTGAATGAGTTGACCAATTCATCATTTCTTGAATTTCATATTTGTGGAATTTGAATGGTACTTCCGAAAGTTTGGTGCTCATTTCAAATTGCTTTATTTTTCCCCAGTAACATTTAGGGGTCGTTTGGTAGAATGTATTAAAAAAAATAATGCATGCATTAGCCTTGTGTATTACTGGTACCTTATTTGGTACTCTTGTCCAACCTATGTATAACTAATGCTTGCATTAGTTATACACTCTATTGTGTATTAAGGTGTGTATTGCTAATACCATGGATTTCCAGGTATTAGCAATGCAATGGTTTAAATGCATGCATTAACTCAATTAAAGACCCTATTACCCCTCAATACCTTTTTTATATCTTTTCCACCATAATAGTGAGGGGTATCTTGGTAAATAATTTTTTTAATGCAATGCATTCTATTTTTAATGCATCAAACCAAACAATGATAAAAATAGTCTATGTATATTTAATGCAAGCATAACTAATACATGCATTGCTAATGCAAGCATTAATAATACACTCTATTTAGCATTATTTTTATACACTCTACCAAACGACCCCTAAGTACCTTATAGAGTTCTTTTTGACTTTAATTATGTTTTTTTTTCACATTCAGAGTGTAGTCTAGTCACCATGTTGTTCCTGCTTCATCTGTTCCTTGAGCATACAAGTAATGGTATGCAATTGTGTTTCAGGGCATGTCAAAGAAAAGACGTTCTCGAAGTGTTTCTGTAGGAATGCAACAAAGCTCTTGAGGTATGGTAAATCTACATGACGATCACTAGAACTTGCTCAGATCTGGGGAAGGCGGTCCAAATAATACTCCGTATTATTTTTCAAAGAGATGCTGTGCAGTTCTTTGAGAACAAGTTCTGCTGGGAACGGCCTCTCTAGAGCATGCAGCTGATGGTATTAAAGTGCAACTTCGGAGGACAAACTGGGGTTAATCCTCTACTGGATAAGAAGATGAAGAAAGGTTATGACTAAGTCGGCACACAATTTTTATCGTTTTTCACGGCTGGTAACAACTTATCACTCTGCTATTTTGTTGATCTCTATCCAGTGTTCAAATGTAAGATCCCTGTCGTATAAACCTCTGTTGTATCTTCCTTCTTTTTGTCGATCATTTGATGGTAAAGCACTGAATCTTAGCTACTTGTACAAAAAGTTGCACATTTTCTTTCTAATAATATATTAGTGGATACTGGATACGTTGTCTGAAGTACTTATTGAGGATATTTCTTACCTATTTATATCAAATAAGAAGCGAAAAAGCTATATATTGTGGTCAGTGAATTGTCAGTAGAACCGAAAGGTCTCGTGTTCAAATCTCAGTGGAGGCACAAGACACTAGGTGTGATTTCTTCCCATCTGTCTGAACTTTGGTGGGCAGAGTTACCATGTACCATCGTTGGTTTTGTGATTTAGCACACTACCGTTTACAACATGGAACTTCATCTTGTATTGTAGTTATTAGCTCATGCATCACAAGGGTGAACAAGTACATGCTCAATGCCAACCCTAGGTGTAAACTCATGGTTATGAGAAATTCCGTTGCATCTCCTACTACTGTTTTTATGCTAGTGATGGCTCCTAAACATGTCCGTTTTATCATTTATATATTTAATGTAATATAAATTCCTCTCGTCTCCAACACCCACCAAAGGACCTTTCTAGCTATATGACTTTCTCTACGTCAATGAACACCAATCTTTTTTTCCCCTTGCTATAAACTCCCATCGATCTCCTTAACAAAATTATAGCATCTGTTGTAAATTTACCGGCATAAATCAAATTTGGTTCTCCGTCACTCTTGTAGTGTCCTTAAATCTACATTCTATCACTCTTTAAATGGACCAGCTACAATCCAAATTAAATAGAGCTTGAGCGAGGTATGCTGGGGAGTAATCTTTATATTTGGATTTAAGTCATATTGGATAAAAAATGATCCTTGAAAAGCTAAACTTTTTCCTTGTTCAATAATTTTACAAAATAGGATAATACCTTGACAAATGCCTAGCATGGGTCGATCCCAATTGGTATAGAAGGGTGGTAGCTCAGGGGCGAAAGTCTAGCATGGGCCTATCCCAATTTGTGTAATTATGAGGATAGCATCCCAGGGGTTAAAATGCCTAGACAGTTCCCTAAGACTTCCTCAAGTTCACATGAATTGCGGGATCAAACAACATTTAGCACCCTATTCTTAACTAGCTTTAGTCTGGAAAAAAAGGTACATGAAATCATGGAACGCTTAAAAAAGTGTGAGTTTCTTCAAGGATATAGATAGAAAAATTATATCTCCACCTTGCCTCCTCTCAACGAAGGGAAACCTTTCTTGGAATTCATCATTTTTTGACACAAAACAACCCAGCCTTATTTGGAAACTGAAGTAGGAAACCGTGCAACGCTCTGCTCTTGTCATAATTTCGACCTGTTTCAATCATCCTTTTCTTTACCTTCTTTCTTTTGATCTGAGCTAGTTGCTTCTGAGGAATCGGTATAAAACACCTTATAGCTACGAAGTGGTAGGTTTTGGATGTATGACCTTATAAGATCAACATAGAGAGGGAACTGATTAAATGCAAAAAACACCACAGGTATGCATGTTACCCCATATATTGGAATTGCCGCAGTCCTGAATTTATCCCGGAGGACAAAGAAATGTGCAGCACAGAATGAGATCAAAATGGCAGTTATTGATGCAAAAAGCGAAGTTAATCCAAGGAGCAACTTTCTTGGCAAGTCTTTCTCGAAATCATTGTGTCGGCATCGAGATGTGAGGATAGCTAAGAAAAACACTAGGGCCGTGACAGAGAAGCAAAGAGAAACTAGTGATGTTATAGAGAACACGTCGAAAGCAGGCTGATTTTCTAAGTGTGGATGGCCATTATCATCGGCTCCGCCTGGGATTGTGGCAGATGTAGCAAATGCAACAGTAGCAATCAGTGCTGCTACGACAGAGAATGAATTGGCAGTTGTGACGAGCCATTGAGTTCCATCACTGAGTAACTTTGCATGTGTCTCTACGAAGATCTGTCTTGGTGTCTGACCTTTATTGTTATAACGAACATATGATTGTGGTGGCAAAGTGTGCTTGACATACTGCATTATGATAAGAAAATATTTTACACGTTAGTGTATTTAAGTTAATCCCTTGTGATATTAAAATATGGTTGGTTGTTAAAAATCTCTTACCTTGTACCACTTCCTTTCGCCTTGCAACTGTAGAGCACTACCAGGGATGCGCCACACCTCGAGCTTCTGATACATTGCAGCTAGGTGCACTGCATTGTTTCCATGTTTGTCCACATGATAAAACACGTACTCTGGATACTTTTCTCCTATTAACCAATTATAGACATCTGTTTGCCTATGCTCTACAGCTAAAAGCAGTATGTTCTTCTCGTTACAGTCCGTATCTTGAATGGCTATTGGGAACTTTTTGAGGATCCTCTGTACCATCTCTACAGTACCCATCTTTGATGCCACTAATAGCGGTGTCTCCTTGGTCTTGGACATCTCTGTATTTAGAACTATAATTATTCTAGTTGCTTTTAGTGTACATATAGCTTCTGATGAAGTTATAACTGGTATAAAAAAGAAGAAAGTTGATTCTGATTTGGAGTAGCAGAATAAATTTTTAGCTTGTTGATGTGATAGATCTTGAGTTCCTAAAATTGCAGTCTTGATGACCCGGAACAAAGTTTTCCGTGCCACACAAGTATGACCAGAAGAAAAGAGATTCTTTACCGGGCTTGAGATCATCTTTCTTCTTATCTGTGCTTGAAGTTGGTGGTTGCTCGATCTGTGCAATGTCATCTGTTGGAGGGGGTGCTGTAGGAGGTGCTCCAATTTGACTATAGAGGTACGTATCTTCTGGCTTCTCCCCAGTACTTTCATAGAATTTGTAACGTTCTTCTTTCTCAATCATCAACTTCATAATTTGAACTCCCCATGTATGTTGCCTTTTCCTTTCCTCTAGTTTTTTGGTCCTTTGGAGTCCTGCATGCAACAAGATGTGGATCCTGATGACATAATGTGGAAAGTAAAATATGAAAAAGATAGGACTTGCCTAAATGTCAAACAACAAAAACATAACTTCCCTTAGTTTTCTATTTCAAACAAGAAAAAGAAGAGAGTTTTTAGTCCTTTTCCACTTTCTCTCCATTGATATCTCTACTATTCTCAACCCGTTCTTACGTTCTAAACAACAATCAAGGGTCAAGAAGTATCAAAATGTAGTCATTAATTCCTAGTTTAATTTCCAAACAAGGGATGAAGCAGAAAATATATCATAACGGGGTTGGAACTACTTTCTTCGAAAGAATAACAAGTCTGATTCTTTAGAATTACAATATCTGCACTCAATAGTCAAGAAATGTATGCATGATAAACTAGAAATGTTTTAAGAATAATTCTTACCAATACCCAATACAATAAGTACAATCTTCATTATACATTTGAGGAACTCGATAAAGATGGTGTAATTGGCTGGAAACAACTTGTGGTTTCTGTTCCTTTCAGCTGGAATTCCAGAGATCAATCGTTAGCAGAAATATGTTGGAGAATCACACACTTTTATCAATTTTCTTCACATAGAAAATGTTTACATAGCTTGGAAAGAAAGGAGCTCTAATGCTCAATGCTTTGATTTTGATGGACAATCAGTATGGTGATATATTTTGCGTCTTTTTGTTAATATTTTATACAGAGAAAAACAAATCTTACAGAGAGTAGAAAGATAATAAGTCTTTTTTGAATCTGCAAAACTCTTAGGTACAAAGTGTCAACACTCTCCTGATGAGATGCTCAAATCATTTGGTTAGTTTTATCTTCGAAAAGAAATTGGTCTAACTGGAAGGTTCCTGCGTAGTTACATGCACATCTTCTTGATATTCCAGGTGTTTCCTATGTGGTGAAACATCTGAGACTGTTAACCATCTATTTTTACATTGCAAGTACACCCATCATCTGTGGATAATATTCCTAAGCCTCAAAGGCATCTCCTAGACAATGCCCAGGAAGGTGGCTGAGGCATTACTATGCTGGGAGGAAGGAGGTGTACATGCTAAGGACAGAGGTAGATGGAGAATTATCCCGGGGGCAATCTGGTGGGCTGTTTGGAAAGAAAGGAATTCAAGATGTTTTGAGAGCATAGAGAACAATGTGCAGAAAGTTAAACTAAATTGCATTTTGACATTGTCTCTATTATTGATGTGTTGGACTCAATTTAGACGTAGAGAAGTGAAATCAGGAGTACACTTGTATATAAGGTTACAGTATGACCCATGTACTGGTTTGTGATATAATACAAAGTTACAAGTTCAAAAAATATATATATACATGTGTATGCATTCACCTTGAATTGAGGGATTCTCGGGGTCATTTTGATGATAACTTTGATGGCCTTGGTGTGCAGAAAAAGGAAACATAAGTTAGTACTAGTAAGAGTTGTCCTCATGAAAAACAAATAAAAAAAGTAGTATAATATATATATATATATATATATATATAGTTTCTTGCCTCTTTAGAAGCCTGTTTAAGTCCACATAACCTGAAAGGTATCACATACCTTTTGACTTATTCTCTTGATTCTCAGTAGTTGCTCCTGTAGTAATTGAATAGAAAAGAGAATCAGTCTTTGAGCATGTAAAATTCTTAGGTACTAAGTCCCAACAAGAGTTCCCCGAGGCACTCGAATCATTTGGTTAGTTCATTTTGTGAAAGAGATTGGTACTATTGATTAACTCAGCATGGATGAGTTAATAAATTAGAGTGTTTCTATGTAATCATGTACCTTTGGACTTCTTCCCTTGATTCACATCAGTTCCTTTTGTAGTATCTGGATAGAAAACAGAATCAGTCTCTGAGTATGTAAAATTCTTAGGTACTATGTTCCAACAAGAATTCCCCGAGGCACACAAATCATTTCGTTAGTTCATTTTGTAAAAGAGATACTGTTGATTAACTCAGCATGGATGAGTTAATAAACTAGAATGTTTCTATGTAATCATGTACCTTTAGACGGGTCTTCTTGATTCCCACAATATGTTCGCTTAAGATAATCTGGATAGAAAAGAGAAAATCAGTCTTGGTAATGTAAAACTCTTAGGTAGAAAGTGCCAACGACAGTCTCTCAAACAGTCTATTAGTGCATTTTCAACAGGAGATTGGTCTAGTGCTTTCAATAAACCCCGAAATGAAGTGAGCAACTTTCTTGTTTTGATCGGAGTATCTGTTGGCATTTCCTACCTAAAGAGATTTTGTACTAGTATAATGTACTATACAGATTAGATAAGACATTGATCACATGCAGTAAATCTACTCACTTAGAGTTTTCAATGTCCCATTCCAAAGTAGTTCCAAGAACTCCACCATTGTTTGGTAGTTCTCTGGGAGATTCCATTCAAGCTTACTATATGAATCTTCTTTTTCTTCAGCTTCATATGTCATTAACTCTAGCTCTTCGATATTTGTGCCTGGAATAAAAGAACCTAATATTAGCTATATAACCTTCACAAACAATGAACATGAACCATCCTGCAAAAGTTGGATGTTTATGGCTAACAGAAAACAGTAAATGTGTTGCACTGGCACAAAGGATAAAAAGAACGCACACTTACAGTAGTAGATGAGGCTATCTATGAACCGAAAATGGTTGCCACTTTTGAATACTTGAGGCATCCTGGAAAGGAAGTGTAGAGGAGATGTGCCCTCTACGTTGTAACGGTTGACAAGTTGCCCATAGTAATGTATTATCTGAAAAGCCAGATCTGTTACAAGATAAGTTGTTAATACTACTGTCCCATTCTACCACAGAGAAGAAATTATAAACATATGTAAAGTTGAAATATCTGATAATCAATAGAAAAGACTTTGTAGGGGATTGGCTCTTACCGAAGTACTCGCCAGAGATGGCGGCATGTAGAATGTTATCCCCATCTTCCCTCCTACAAAGTTCAATTGGACCTTCTCCTTTTTCATTTAGACAACAGTTATGTAGGTAGAGAAAAGCTTGTAGCTTGCCACGATAAGCAGCTACGAATAAGGGGGTTTCCCCTTTTGAATTGGTCTCCCAGATGAGATCACGGTCTGCTGAGTTTACCATACACTCAATAATCGGGACACTCCCAAGTTCTGCTGCAAGGTGAAGAGGTGTGTTCCCTTTATCATTCTTCTGCTTTAAGATACATAGTCGATTTTCCTTTGATATGTCAGCAATCATTTCCTTGATACAAGTAAGATGAGGATGCTGTAAAGAGTTGTCTCGATCTGGATGATAAGAAGTGATAGCTAAGTGAAGAGCAGTATCTTCAGATCGAGTGAGTTTGGATTCATGAACAAACTTGTTGTTGATGTACAGATGCTTAACTTTTGTCCACTTATTCTCCATAGCTGCTTGAAATATTTGATCTTTAATTGCTTGGTTCGCCTTTTCTGTCGACTCATTTGAAGAAGGCCTTCCCATTCCCATTCCTTTTCCTTGTCCTGATAACTGTGTTTGAATTTCTGAGGCCATTTGCACTACTTGTTTCTACAGATTATGTTGATGCCACTCACCAGTCACCAATGGCTTTAATATATACTGCTAGTTGAGGCATATTGTTGAGAAACATTTCTTTACAAGCCTTTTTGTTGGTGCAGGTGTGATGGCTTTTCTAATACCCAAAGTATTTAAGAATCTAATATTTTGTTACTGTGACTTTTACACTATCATATCACATTAGTTGAGGAAATGTATTGTGTGTCTGACAATCCTCACATCGTGACCTAGCTTCTCGGGTTGAGTTAGAGTTGGTTTACCTAATGTTAGGCTTCTATATTACGTTGTTTTGCGAGGGGGTGAGTGCTATGTGTGCGCTCCTTATACGATATTTGGTCAATCCTCGCTTCATGAGCTAAGCTTTGGGGTTGAGTTTGATACAAGATACATTTTCTCCACACTTTTATGTCATGCAAAACACAAGGGTAACACCTCTTTAGTCATTTGTTCCCTTCTTGCTGCTATCAGCAAGCATCTCTTTTTTTTTTTTTTTTTAATCTTTTTGCCTTTATTTTACTCTAGATTTGCCAATACATAGATTATACACCGATTATACGAGGTTATATATATATATATATATATATATATATATTATACGTTCGCTGGCTATTTTTCGTGCAATTTTATCTTTTATGTTTGTAAATCCATAACAGTGCAGGGCCCAAATTGGACTTTAAGAGTTAAAAAGATGTACAATTTATTTGGTATATTCTTTGCTCAAATGTTATGTTATTCTCTCCTCTTAGTTTTCTTTCTCTATTCCTTTACTTTGAAGTAATTCCTCATATAGTAAAATTTTGAACTCTTTGAATGCACTTTTTTCGGTTTTTCCTCATCGTTAGTAAAAAAACGAAAGAGTTAAAAAGGTAAAAAACACACCTAAAGTATCTCGTTTTTTTGAGTTTCATATCTGAACTATCTGTTGTTTCAGTTTCCTATTTAAACTATCACCGATTTTTTTTGTTAAAACACACATCAACTATCGATTGTTCACTTTTTCTACCTGAACTATCATCGAATGTTTATTGATTAGTTGTTTATTTTTTCTACCTGCATAATGGTGTAAAATTTGCATACAAATTACTCTTTTCAAATCGCGGATCTCATGAGAAACATGATGGGTAATATCCAAACAATTTTTCGGAATAATATTTTAGGAAAAGAATAAAAAATATATTTTATCGTATGTCAATCAATTAAAAAATTGAGATAGCTTAAATCGTAGGTAAAAACTCAAATTCAAGAAAATTAACATTTTTTCATTGAGTATTAAACTTTTGAAGTTAAGAAAATCAACATTTTTTATGAAGTCGTGATTACCACAATGCAAATTTTAAGCAAGCGTTTGATCATAAAATTTAAAAGTGATTTAATTTTATGTTTTGATTTCAAATCAACGTTTATTTATGAAATCTATCCAAAATTTCAATTTGAAATAAGATTTTCAAGTCCTATGAGGCTATGACCAAACGTTTATTAATTCAAGGAGTTTTGATATATACGTGAGATTAATTTGTTTGTCTTTTACTTTTCTATTTAATCCATTTAAAAAAGATTGTTTTTTAAAGCCGTTGTTTTGTTTCAATTTTTTAAATGACATATTCAAGAATCAAGATTACATGATTAAATAATATTTTGATGTATTCTACGTATTTTTAATTTTTTGTCACAAGATTCAAATTTATTTTTTAATTTTATATACACCGTAATAAGATTAATTTAGTTAAAATACACATATACTCCGTAATAAGTTTAATTTAGTTAAAATACATTTCTAAAATAAGTTAGTAAAATGAAACAGAGCAAGTACAATAATTTTTTTTTGTTTTCTCATAGCATACAATATTATATTATGTTATTTCATAATTTACAATTTGACACGGAATTTAAAAAATTAATATTTTCATCTCTATGCATGTAATGTGTATGGGCATATTAATGCAGCGTAATTCCTTCTCATCTTCATCGTCAAACTGCCGGAAAATCAAATTTTCGTTCCACCACCGCTCCCATGGCCTCCTCTCGGCGGCGCCACCACTTTTTTACCCGTGGACGGTGGCTAATCCCGGCCATCACCGTCGCCTCCGTCTTTCTTCTCCTTTTCTTTTTCCTCTCGATTCTCGCGCCTTCTCCTAATGGCAATCGTATCTTCCTTCTTCCCCGTCGCGATTCTTCGGTACCTCATTCACTCTACATTAATGCTACGATTAATGTTTCGCGTACATAATATAATAATAACTGGATTCACAATCAAATAGGGGAATTGAACATTCATATAAAAAAATTTTGATACTCAAACAACTGAGCTAATCAGGCTTTTGTTAATCGGGCTTAGATCCGAGCCAATGCACGTTCATTGAAAGTTTCGATACTCAACCAACTGAGCTAATCAGGCTTTTGTTAATCGGGCCTAGATCCGGGCCTTGAGTTAATGCACGTTCATTGCAAGTTTGGATACTCAACCAACTGAGCTAATATGATTTTGTTAATCGGGCCTAGATCCGGGCCATGAGTTAATTCACGTTGATTTCATTTTTGAGATGCATTTGGTTAATTTGAATGTAATTTTGTATTTGTAGGGAGAAAATGATGATGCAATTGAAGATTCTCCGTTACCTGTTCCGGTGAATATCTGCGTTTTCTGTATGAAGTTTCTATTTTTTGTTTGGATCTTATATTTCTAAATTTTGTATTGATTGTTCTTTTGTTGTTTAAGGCTAAAGAGAAAGTGAGTAAACGGGATATGTGGAGTTCGAGAAATTCAAACCTCTTTTATGGATGCAGTGATGCTAGTAACAAATTTCGAAGTGAGTTATGTTATATTGATACTGCATTTTCGAAAGGTCAATTTACTCTGATTTTCTCTTAATTCGATTTGTTGTCAAATTTGCAGAAGCACAAGATATCACTCATCCTAATCGTTACTTGTCGATTGTAACAAGTGGAGGTCTTAACCAACAAAGAACTGGGGTAAGCAAATGTGGTTTGCACTGGCTTTCATTTAAGAAATCTGATTACTAATTTGTTGGCTTAAACGAAGTACTAATTGCTTGTGGTTGTTGAACACTAGCTAGTAGCCGAGAAAGTATTTGTTTTAGTAATCAATGTGTAGTCCAAAACTAATCGAAGATTGATTCATTGAAATTATAGTTTTACGCCTTATGATGTGCTCCAAACTGGTGGCTGGAGCCTCATAGAAACTTTAGCTATATTTCCTTGATGTGTAAACATTCCTGTCATTAACTGTTGCATAGTTTAACTTCTGCTGACGTCGAACTAAAATGATTATATGGAATGCAGAATGGTTCTGTATTTAACAGTATAATCTCTTTCACCTCGATGACAGATAACGGATGCTGTTGTTGCTGCTCGAATTTTGAATGCTACTCTTGTTGTTCCGAAGCTGGACAAGAGTTCTTACTGGAAAGACTCTAGGTGAGTGAGTACGTAGCTGAAAAATGATATTTTGTTTTTCGTTGCATATTGTTACACTCTAATATCTCTGCGAAGTGAACTATGCATTTTCCTTGCAGCGTCTTCTCTGATATTTTTGATGTTGATTGGTTTATAAAATATCTTGCGAAAGATGTTACAGTTGTAAAGGAACTTCCACTCAGAAAAGGGCAAATCTGGTTACCTTATAGAATGCGAGTTCCTAGAAAGTGCAGTGATCGTTGCTATATACATCGTGTATTGCCTGTACTTAAAAAGAAACATGTGAGTATATTAAGTCCCTTAAATTTCTTCCACCTATTGTATGCATGAGGAAAAAACCATACTTTTCGTCAAATGCATTACCAGAAAATATAAGGCCTAGTCGTGGAGACGGATATGTCTATGCTGTATATAAGATGTTTGAATGTTGATATTTATAGACCTGTATAGCGTCTGCTTGTCGTAACAGGCTGTACAGATCATGAAGTTTGACTATCGACTTGCAAATAGTCTGGATACAGATTTTCAAAAGCTTAGATGCAGAGTTAATTATCATGCGTTGAAGTTTGTTGACCCTATACTTAGAATGGGTGAGAAATTGGTTCAGCGAATGAGGATGAAGAGCAAGCATTTCATTGCTCTTCACCTAAGGTTCGTCTTCTATTTGCTTATTTATTATTTTCTCATTTACGATCACTTATAGTTAGTATTTGATCCTTGTTAGTGTTATGATTTTCTTCAATCTAGTTTCATTTCACTTTCCCTTTGTCCTGTTTGTTTTCGTTATGTTTACTTAACTGCTGTGCTCGAACTTCTGCTATTTAATTTGTCTATCGCCTCTTCAGGAAGTTAAATAGCTTACACAGCCACGATTATAGTGTAAAGGTTCGATTTTGTATGAACAGTTTATCAAACATAAGAATTGTGTCCTAGTCCAGGAATGTAGATAACAAACCGTATCATTTTGATTACAATGACAATGAAATCCCACCACAAGTGAAGTCTGGGGAGGGTGGGGTGTACGCGTATCATTTTGATTATGACAATTTTTTCTTATTCCTTGTTTTATACTCGCATATGGTACAGGTTTGAACCCGATATGCTTGCATTCTCAGGATGTTACTATGGAGGGGGCGATAAGGAGAGGGAGGAACTCGGGAAGATACGAAAGAAGTGGAAAACATTACCTGTAAGTACTTGAGTATCTGCTTTCAATCATAACCTCATAATGAATCATTGTGAACTGTGAGCTTCAAAGATTGGTACTTTTCTTTATGTCTAAAATTTGGTTCTTTTCTTTATGATAGTTTAAATCCCCTGTAGTTAGCCCATCTCTCTGGTTTGCACACAAGTTTGAAACTCGGGGGTTATGTGCCCGCCCTCTACCTTCCTTCCACTTACCATATATGATGTGTGAACTCTATTTCCGATATACTTTCAGGAGAGTCACCCAGATAAGGCAAGGAGGCATGGAAGATGCCCTATGACTCCTGAAGAAGTTGGCTTGATGCTGAGATCACTTGGATATGGCGAAGATGTTCATATATACGTAGCATCTGGTGAAATATATGGAGGGAACGAGACATTGACTCCGTTAAAGGCCCTCTTTCCAAACTTCTACACAAAAGACACCCTTGCTAGCAAGGATGAATTGGAACCATTTTCTGCATTTTCTTCTAGAATGGCTGCACTTGACTTCATAGTTTGTGATGAAAGCGATGTATTTGTCGCCAACAACCATGGAAACATGGCCAAAATTCTAGCAGGACGAAGGTCTGCTGCTTCCCCCTCCTATTTCACTTTTTTTCTGCAAAGACATATATAATACATAAACATGTCATTTAACTTGTCCTCAGCATTACGTCCTTCAAATTTGGGTGTGTACAAGTAGACACTTAAATTTGTATAAAGTTGAATAAGTAAACACACGCATCCTACATGACACAATATACCTAGGACACCAAGTAGCATGTTGTGTAGGAGGTGGGTGTTACTTGTGCAACTCTATACAAGACGCCCAAAGTTGGAGGGCATAGGATGTGGCCAAGTTAAAAGACACGATTCTGAGGTAGACTAATATACTTTTTCCTTTTCGATGCAGGAGATATTTTAGCCATAAGCCAACCATTCGTCCAAACGGTAGGAAACTATTTCGAGTGTTCTTAAACAAAAACTACATGTCACACAAGGAATTTGTATATAGAATCAACAAATATCAGAAAGGCTTCATGGGAGAGCCTAAGGAGGTAAGTCCAACCTGGGGTGTGTTTCATGAAAATCCTTATTCATGCATATGTGAGAAAGTAGATAACTCTACAGGAGGAGAGGTATTGAATAGTACCTCTCGCGTTGAAACTTTCACCAGGGTAACAAATACTGACTATGACCCTGATACACCTGATGATCTTGAGGTGGATGTGTTGCTCTCGGATTGAGAATGTATCGGTAAGAGCCTTTCAAGAAAGTTTTGCTTGTACATACACCATTTTTGCCATGATATTCATTGAGGCATCAACAAGTACAATGTTGAAGCCCTTGCAACAAAGGGGGTTAGGTTGTGTTGGAGTTTTAGTTGAGAATTCTAGTTCAGACAGTGGATTACAAGGTGAGAGATCGAACCCTCATCAACAAGGTGAAAGTTCAAGTAGTCAATCAACTGAGCTACTCAGATTCTTTGGAAGCCCCAACTGGACTTTTTCCAGCAAAACTATATACTAGAGCTATACATAGATGTTACACATCACATACATGTAATTATTTATTAACATGTTTTTTTGTTTGTCAAGTTTTTCATGATTATTAAACTTAAATTTGGGAAACTAAAGTACTACTATTTACTCTGGTATTATGAGGTGTTCATTAGTTTTTTCATGAAATACCATACTATTATTTCATAACTTTAGTTTAAAATCATAAAATTCAAAAATCTTCTTTTGATTTTTTAAATTTCATGTCAAGTTAAAATTCTCAGACAAACAAATAGAAACGGAGGAGTATAAAATATGTATAATTAGATCAGAAACTAAAAAGAACCTTAAAGTTTCAAACTCCCAATAAAGCAAATCTAAAAATCTAAAAAAAGAGAAAGACTGCACAAACCCCAAAAAGGAAGGAAAATAAAAGTAAAAATAACAAAGAAAACAAATAAAGAACAAAGTATCCTTATTCCACTTCAATCTGTCTCTGCTTTGCTTTTTCTTTTTAAAATCATAACAATGGTATTTGAATCAACTTGTATATATACTAATTATTTTATTGAAGTTTCTAATTGAGTTCTAAACGAATTAACTTCTTAGTAATGGTTTAATCTCTATATAGAAAGTCCTATGATGAAAAACTATCATGTTAGATTTGGAGAGAGATAAAATCAGTTAATATAATAAGAGAAATATATGCAAGCTTTTTCTTTTAATAACCGGTCAAATAATTTCGTGATCATCGATCTACCTCAATTCACCATTATCAAATCTTATACATAAATTGTATAACACTACAAAAAAATTCATTATCTGTGATAAATCATTTAATCACTCAAAAAGTATTTCGTCACACAAAAAATCATCAATCTTTTATCTCTAAACATGATTTTGTCCATTCACAAAACTTGATTTTATATCCAAACATTACATAGATACTCAAGTATAGTATCATATATATATATATATGTATGATAAAGGTGGAAAGGCAAATATACTAATTAATTCTAAAATTTGAAAGCATAGGGCAGAGTCAAGCTCCCAAAGCAAAATAAATAAATAAATAAATTGAAAAGATAAATAAAAAAGAGAGAATGATAACATGAGAACACACACCCATAAAAGCAAAAAAAGAGAAAAGAAAAAAAAACACTACATATATCAATCATTCCACTCCTTTTTTTCCCTCTCTTATTCCCACCTCTCACAGCTATAGCGGCAGATTCAAAATTTAAACATCATCAATTTTCTTTCACATACATAAAATTCGATCTTAAAACACTTACACTAACTCAAGTCACCAACTTTCTTGACCTTCCAGCACTAGACAAATACATCGATTTTGTTATTTCTGAATCCGTCTCTGTATATATATGTTCATGGAAGTGTTAATGGTTATAGTTATGATGTTAACTATTATTGTTAGAACAAAAGCTACATGGTGTGTAGTTAGAAGTGATGCAAGTTATCAAGCATTACAAAGAGGTTTAGATTATGCTTGTAGCTATGGTGCTGATTGTTCACCAATTCAATCTACTGGCCTTTGTTATCTTCCTAATACTATTCAAAATCATGCTTCTTATGCCTTCAATAGTTACTATCAAAGAAACAACATGGCTCCTGGCTCTTGCCAATTTTCTGGCACTGCTACTTTTGCCAAAACTGACCCAAGTAAGTCATTTTTCTGGTTTCTCACTCGATGTTTGATTCCGACTAAATTCATATTTGTACCGAAAAGTCTCGTATAATTTCCTAATAACAAAGGTGATTCTGTATCTAGGTGTTGAATTCAAAACTTTTCTGATTAAGGATGAAAGGATAGTAGTACTTACCGCTCTATCAAAATCTGATCGATTTTTTTATGCATTAGAAGTTATATATATGCATGGTCAAGGTTAATGTAAATGGTTTTTTTATTATGTTAGGTTACTCAAATATCTACATGTGAATATTCTTAAAATGTTAAATTTTAAATTCTTGAAATTAAAACAAGTTACATACTTGGTACAACATGTAAAATTTACCTGATTGTGTACTGTGTATATAATTTGAACTCTTTAATTTATGTACACTGACACAACATAAATAATATTTTTTTTGAATTTTCAGTGTATAGGTTGATATAGGTAAAGTTGATTAATTATTTTTTTCTTATTTTTACCTCTTAGGTTATGGATCTTGTGTTTACCCAGCTTCTCCAAGGTATGTTCTTTTAATACTTAGTTGTTTTACATCTTTATTTTTTTATGTTGTTTTTTTCATTCTTGATCATTTCTATAGCTTTTTTTTCTTGAAAATAATGTTTTTTCTTCCACTTTATTAGCTACCCAAAATAATGCTACCTTTTTAAAAAGAAAAGAAAAAGAACATTGGGTTGTAAAGTAGAAAAATACCATAAGCAAACTTTGTTTTATCTTTTTTGAGTGTTGGATGGAGATAATGGTTTTTATGGGGTTCAAGAACATTGTGGAGTGTTGCTTTTTGTGTATAATGATGTCCATTGTGCCTTATTACGTGGAAATGTGTTGATGTTTTCGGGGCGGATCTAGAAGGTAGCGAGGGTTCACTCGGACTTCATAAAAATGTATATAAAATATATAAATAAGTTATTCTTTTAATTATTTTATGTATATATATTGAATATGAACCTCCTAAAACATAAGATTAAAGACTGACTTAATAATTGAGGGGTTCAGATTTTCGAACCCATTAATGAAAATCTTAGATCCGTCATTTCATGTAACTTCATGTTGTTCTATGGTTGAACTTTTTTTTTTTTTTTAATCACTAGTCACTCTATATTACTAGTATATAAAAAAAAACTTCTATATAGTTAAACTATTTATTATGTTGTTGATATTTTGAATTTTGATTAGGGCTGCCGGAGGGCCACTTCCTCCTGGAACCGGAGGGCGTAACAACACAGGTGGAGGAATTACAACCACCCCACCAGTTCTATATTCACCACCACAAGCAATTATAAACCCCGTATATGCTAACAGAACAACACCAATTATCGCGGGATCAGATGATCCTGATTCTCAAGATTCAAAAGCAACTTGTCCCAAGTTTTGGACAATGACAAGCTTAATTCCAACATATTTGATGTTTCACCTAATTCATAATTTTCAACTTTTGTAGGAAGACTTGATTTAGTGAAATTTTATTACAAATGAAAATTTATTTTGATATTATGTGTTATCAAAAGTATTGCTTCGCTGCTTAAAGCAATGAAGCAAGCAAATTGAGCCAGAGGGAGTATTAGTATGATAGTTTTTATATAGTTCATGTGTAATTTAACCGGTTACATATATTTAGACATGAATTTTAGTGTAAAGAAGTTGGATTGTTTGGTTTGTTGTTGTATTGTTGATATTTGAACTTTGTTGACATTTTCTCCATATTATCTCAAAGCTCAAACGATTGGGATTTCGATTCCTCATGGAATTGGAGGCCACAATAATAAAGTGGAGGAATCGTGATTACTCTAGTTTTATATTTACCACTACAAGCAAGTATAAACCCATGCATGGTAATGAAGGAACAACATCGAGCACCAATCGATGTTCCCAACTCTGAAGATGCAAAAGCAACTTGTCCCAATATATTTGATGTTTCTCTTTTTCGTATTTTTCAACTTTTGTACGTATCCTTAAAAGATTAAACAAAAGATTGGTGTTTGTATACAAAGATTTAGTGCATTTTTGATGTATTATGAAGTTAGGTGTTATCAAAAGCATTGCTTCGCCTCTTAAAGGAATGAAGCGATGTAAAACGAGATGTTATTACTTCATGAATGAATCTATACGCTTCAAATTAACGCGCATAGTGACTTAAACGAACATTGCAGTCGATTCTTGAAATCTGAATTTTGACAATTCATAGTATATAAAGGGAATATTACAATTAGTTATAATTATTTAATTCATTTTAAAATAATTATAATCCTTTGTTAAAATCGCACTACTTATGTTATTATATATATTCGACGGCTATTATTTTGATAGACGACTCTTTAATTTTTCAGCCCAATTGTCCAAATAATACTGTAGCCCAAATATATGACCCACAAGCCCAAGCCCAAGCCCATTTGGTTTAGTGTCGTAAATCCAAATTCATTTCCTAATTCCCACTACACTCCAGTGACCCACTGCTCCGCCGTCGCTATCGCCGTCGCCGTCGTTATCGCCGCCGTAGGTTCCGTCTTGTATAATCGGATCCTAAGATGTCAATTTCTTATTCTCCTTGTTTTCAACCTCTGAAAGTGTTCCCTAGAAGCAATCGTATTCGTTCAAGCGGAGCTTTGACCTTGAATCGACGTAATGTAGTGACATGTATGAAAAAATCTCATGAAGATACCTCTCTTGAAGCAAAGGTATGAACTCAAATGGCGCGTTAATGTTGTTTATCAAAGTTTGTTAGTTGATATAGAAGCCACATTTTTTTTTGTTTTTTGGGTTTAGGATTATCTATGTTTAGCTCGTTTATGAATGAATTTGTAGTTTATTTGATTGATCAGATATAATCAGATGCATCCTGTGTTAATTATGGTATATATTTGATAAACGTGGCGTGCTGGACAGCTTTTGCGCAGCTCAACTAATTCATCGAGATACTTGTTAATTACTTTAGCTTGTCTATGAATGAATTTGTAGTTCATTTTGATTCATCAGATATAATCAGGTGCATCCTGTGTCAGTTGTGGTATATGTATATAAACCTAGTGTCCTTGCCAGCTTTTGGGCACCTCGACTAGTTCCATGTGATACATGCAAATTATGTTTAGCTTGTCTATGAATGAGTTTGTGGTTTATTAATACATCAGATATAATCAGGTGCATTTTGTGTCAATTATGGTATATATATTGATAACCGTGGTGTCCTGGCTAGCTTTTGCGCGCCTCAACTATTTCCACGGGATACTTGTCAATTATGTTTAGCTTGTTTGTGAATGAATTTGTAGTTAATAAATACATTAGATATAATCAGGCTCGCGAACTGTGTCCATTATGGTGGATATTTTTTAAAGGCTAGGGTAGTAAAAATGATAGTTGAGTTCCTTGTATATCATTTTGATCTCTCTTTAAGTCTTTCATAGAGGTCTAATAATTTGTTCATTGTTGAGTTGCGTTTGGATGCTAGTTGCCACATCATCATTATCGGATTACACATTACCTAAGGAATCTAAACCAATAATCAAAATCAAATTTTGACTTGTATATCTAGTCCAATTGCTCAATTTAGACTATGAAAATTCAAGATTTCATGGTTCAAGTTACTCCTAATTTATTTATAATAACGAGACGTGATTTAGCTAGAACATTAGACAGCACATTCTTCTTTAGAGACTGTGACAAGCTATTAGATATCAACTAAGTTAGGTGTCTATGATGTGCACTGTGCCAGTATTTTACATGTCTGGAAAAAAAAAGCTAGCGAAGTAGAAAAAGATCGCGGGCTTTTCATCTGTCATTTTGATCTCTCTTGAAGTAAGTTGTTTTTCTTTGTTGCACTTTGCAACTGATGGTTCATTGCTGCACTTCTGGGGACGTGCAGTGCCTTGCTCTTTGGACTTTACAACAACACCTTCCCTGCCAAGGCTAGTTGAAATGTGTTCTATTTACTGACCTGGACGGATGAACATATTGTATCACCTTTCCTTTGTCTCTTGTTTTCTCTTTTCTGATAACAGTACTTCAGGTTGATTTCTTACTAGATCATGTCAAATGGGACAACAAAGGCCTTGCGGTTGCTATAGCCCAAAATGTTGATACAGGAGCAGTCTTAATGCAAGGGTTTGCAAACAGAGAGGCTTTGTCAACAACAATCTCATCACGTAAAGCAACATTTTATAGCCGGTCACGGTCATCTTTATGGACAAAGGGAGAGACATCCAATAATTTTATCAATGTTTTTGATGTCTTTCTTGATTGTGATCGTGATTCTGTAAGTTTTTAGAATCCCTTTTGATAATTAAATTGTGCCTTTGATTCCATGTGCTTTTTTACTGAAATGATAATCAAAACGACCTATCAGATAATATATCTTGGGAAGCCTGATGGTCCAACATGCCACACGGGGTCAGAGACATGTTATTACACGCCAGTTGATGAACTTCTGAAAAATCCAGAGGTTAGTTGCATTCTGTCAGGTGTTAAGTTTTTTTCATCATCTTTATATTACCTTTCTAAAAGAAGTTTTAATCATCTCATGAATTCAATGAAAAATAGCTCGGCTTTTCTATTGGAAAATAGTCTATTTGAACCTGCCTAAGATGTAGTAGCTGTGCTAGGTTGAGAAAAACGAGCTGGCTTTGACGACTTTATACGCATTAGAATCTACAATCAACCAAAGGAAGGCAGAAACATCTAGCTCTTCAAATGGAAAACCCTCGTGGACGAAGCGATTGTTGCTTGATGACAAATTGCTTTGCTCCAAAATTCGGTATATTGCTTGACATTCTTGATCTTATCATTGACTGGTCTTCAGAAAAATAGCTTTTTCTACTCCCTTGTAGCACATACATATCTGGGGTATTAAATTGGGATTGATGGGTGTTATAGTTTTCTTCTGAATTTTGTTCTTCACATCTTGCAGAGAAGAGGCTGACGAGTTATGCCGAACTCTGGAGCAAAACGAGGCTAATGGTCGGACTGCCTCAGAGATGGCAGATGTCTTGTATCATTCCATGGTTTTGCTTTCTCTTAGAGGAGTAAAACTGGAGGAAGTTATGCAGGTCCTTAGACAAAGGTTTTCAAAGTCAGGCATTGAAGAAAAGAATAGTCGAAAATCCTAGGACATATGGTATAGTAAAAACCTCTTCCTCTACTTTATTGAATTTACCTCAATACAAATGAAGGATGCCAAAATAGGTTCATCTGGCTTAAAAACATCATATTGGAGTATAGTGTAAGACAGAAGTTCAATGTTTGCTTTCCGCCTTTGCGGAAATGATGCTGATGTCCCCCCTTAAATTTATTATTATCACTCCCCTTACCTGTGCCTAATAACAAACCTCACCCTGATCTGCTGGCATTTCTGTTGTAGTTCCTAACAAGCATTGAAAGGTTATCCTAACTTGGTTCAACTTCTGCGTTCTCTTCATTGTTATTCACGAGTAATAACTTGTTTTTCAACACGTCCGTGCAGGGTTTTACCTTTGAAGAAGGTCTCATTACAGTCGACGATTGTCAAGAGAGAGAGAGAGAGAGAGAGAGGGAGGCATACTCCAGCTCTCTAATGTTGTTGTTAAAAGTGGGGAGATCTTTGAAGTCTCCTTTGTCAATACAAACCTTATTGATGTACTTTTGCTAAACTATGGGAACATATATGAACAACATTCTAGTTGTCAGTACAAACAAGAATTGAGGTCACCCATTGTTATTTTCTCTCTTTAGTGTGTGTTAATCTCTCATGATGATAAAAGATTTGGAATTTCCAATTATAAACAAGATGTGTGGATTAAATCCTTTTAAGAAATAAAGTTTTTGATCGGAATACGATGGTCTAAAACAATGATTTTTATCAGTTGTAACATCGCAAGTGTTTGAATTCTCATGAAAAAGGGGGTGCAGCAAAGAAATTGTTCGAATTTTGATTGTTTTTACACGAGAAAGGGGATGTAGCAAAGAAAGTGTTCAATTTTTGATCACTTTTACATAAAATAAAGGGATGTACACTGTTCGAATTTTGATCGCTTTTTTCGGTATTTATGCGAAAAAGCGAATATAGCAAAGGAAGTGCTCAAATTCTGATCGATGGAGGAAAAATGACTAATTTCACAAAACAATTTGATATGAATTGAGTTTATACGAAATAACATAATAACGACATATATATATAGTCTATCACAACTTACTTGACAGATAAGAAACCCTGAGGGGTAGCTCAGCTGGTAAAGGCCTGGGACAAAGTCCTTCAGGTCGCCGGTTCAAGCCCCAGCAGGGCCACTGGAGGCATTACAAACCGGCCGCGTCTCCAGGGCCCCGTGGAACTAACCGTGGTGGACCCGCCTTGAAACAGCGGGACCCGGTGGGTACAGCTAGTCGGGTTCGCAAAGCGACGCCCGAAAACCACGGTAAAAAAAAAAAAAAAAAACTTGACAGATAAGTAAGAATACATGATAGAAAAAATAAAACAACTCCTAGATAACTACAAATTTACGTTCAAATCTCAATTCTTCACCGCACACATATAAAACCAATAAATAGAATAAACCTTTTCGTCTCCTATCAACAATGGACACCAAACCCCATTGACGACGATTCAAGGAAAACAATCAGAAAGAAAGATACTCTATATAGATATCGTTTTTGTGTTTATCAAATCGCAATTTAGTACAGTTCAATTGAATTTTGGATTGAATTATCAGTGTTGCAGCAATGTCAGGTGTATCACTGCAGTGTGGTGATTGTGGAACTCTTTTCAAATCTGTAGAAGAAGCACAAGAACATGCTGAAGTTACCTCCCATGCTAACTTCTCTGAATCTACTGAAGCTGTTCTAAATCTCGTCTGTACTGCTTGCGGCAAGCCTTGCCGCTCCAAAACGGTAAAAAAAATTTGCCCCTTTTGTTGATTATCTGTAGCTACGAATAGGGTTTTAATTATTTGTAGTTGAAATTGATGGATCCTAAGGAGTAGTTGTTGTAGCTTTGAAGTATGCGGAGGTGGATCCAAGATTTGAACTTTATTATTAGTTTTAGGTAATTACTGATAATTTGAGTAATTGGGTTCCAAATTTGATGTTTGTGATGATTTTTAACTATGAGAGCCTGGTTTCGATCCTGGAATAGTACTAGGTGTTTCTTCCCAGCTTTCAAAGCCTTGGAGGACCTTGGTGGATAAAGGTACTAGAGCTGGTGGGAGGCTGGAGGTGGTAGGTATGTAGTGAAATTAGTCTAGGTGCCTGGACACCACATTCATAAAATAAAAAGAAGATTTTTAACACGGGTTTGGACTAAAGCTACTGAATTGGGTCGAGTTCATATCTTACCTTGTACATCTGTCTCTAAAAGTACCACTCCTCCCTTGTGACATGGGTGTAGGCTTAATATATTTTTGCTGCTGTAAGATTGGATACACCCATGACACCCAGGACTTTGATCCAACGATAAAGATTGTACCAGAGGTGGATTCATGACTTGAATATTATGGTTTTGAGTTCGGCATTCTATCACTGCCCATTTGATTTACCAAGTTTCGAAGCCTATTAATTATATTTAATTATTTAGCAAAACTTTTAACACATATAGGATCTGAACCAAGGTAACTGGGTTTGGTTGAACCTGTAACTTAAGCAGTACGTACTCCTCTGTGTAGTACAACATATGTGAACCAAGTCTGGTAGTTAAATGAGACAGGTAGAGGGGCAGATTCATTATCCACCAAGTTTTGAAGATGAAAACAGTAGAATTCCCAGTTATAAAAAGGACGAATAGAAGGGTGGACCACTCAGGTGCTTAGTGTAGTATATTATATTGCTATTTGTGTGAATTTGGGTGGAGATAGTTCGCCAGAAGTTAAAATACGCTAACTAAGCTGTAAAAACTTCTGATTGAAATATGAAGAGTTTATTTTTGCTGTAATGACGATTTAACTGTTGATATAGCTTGACAATGTAGCTTTCTGTGAATTTGATGTTTGAAGGAGAGTGATTTGCACACCAAGAGAACTGGGCACACAGAATTTACGGACAAGACAGCAGAGGGAGTGAAGCCAATCAGCTTGGAGGTGCCAAAAGCAAAGGCCGACGATGATGAAGACATGGCAGAGGTTGGTGATGACAGTGGTACTGGCCAGCATGAAGGTAGTAATTCATTGTTGTCGCAGATTTTGGTCTTTTAAGTTTCAATATAGTTGCTAGATAATCTTATTTTTTACATATGAGATTTGCTAGTTGGGTGAGGCTTATGAGAACAGGAAAGGTGTTTCTTTTCCTCTTTAATTGTTTTTGGGGAAAGCTATTTGTACTAGGACTTAGATGATGTACTACAAATAGGTCATGGAGGATTTAGGAGAGTGTTAATTCTTTTCCATGAAATACATATGACGAAATAAAGATTATTTACTGTAAATTCCACTTCCCTTTTGAAAAGAATGTTCTTTTTTTCAGTAGTTTTATTTTATGAGCTAGTTTAGATGGATAAAATACCCTTGGACTGTCAATATTGAGCACCAGGGGTGGGGAGATAGAAGTACTATGAACATTTGAGAGGAATTACAACATCTAGACAAGTCAGGATGGAGAGGGGTTTTCATATGTTTGCCTCTTTGATTCATCAAACTAGCTCTTTATGTAGATCTAGAATTTGCAAGTGTAAGGTGCTTATGATCCAACTCTAATAGGGAAGAACTATGAAACCAAAATTTACAGTTAAATATTTGGTCAAATGAGGCATAAACATCTGATCAATCCTTTATTTTTATTGTTTAAATGTGGATACATTGGTACTAATGTACCTTTTTTGGCCAGAAATGGTTGTTCCCGAAGTCGACCAAAACCTGCTATCGGAACTTGAGACAATGGGATTTTCCAAAGCTAGGGCTATCCGGGCACTCCACTTTTCCGGTGAGTATTTTTGTGGATGAGAATCTTCATCCTTATGATTGTCCCTACATCTATTGGAGATGAGAAATTATTCAAAAAAAAATCCATCTATGATGCATTCAGGTGACCGATGTAATTATTTTGTAAAAAATCAAGACTCTTGAATACATATAGAAATAGATCTCTAGAGCTCCTAAATGGTCCATTCTCAGCCAAACCAACTACCATTTTGCAGTACTGGACTGAGCTGAGAAAGCTTAGCCTGTTAATACTCAAGAAGGGGGGGAGGGGGAGGGTGGGAGCTGAATGCCAATTCTACTATGATGTTGATCTCCCAATTCTGTATGTGACTGTTGACCACGTTGTTGCCTGTGCGAGGTTCCTCTCTGTTTCATCTATTAAAATTCAAGGCATTTAATTGTTTATGCCTGTGAATTTGGATACAGGCAATGCCAGCTTGGAGGCTGCTGTAAATTGGGTTGTAGAGCATGAAAGTGACCCAGACATAGATGAAACACCAATGGTATGGAAATTTCAGATTCCTGCGTTAAGTTTCTTAGTTCACTAACTAATTATATGTTGTGGTTACTGTTTCCTAATGAGTTTCATAAAGATGTTTAAATGTGGCATTTATAGTTTGCTTCGATAATTCAATGATTATTAAAATTTACCTAGGTACCTGCCAGTGCCAAGAAAGGTGAGGCACCAAGGCCTTCTCTTACTCCAGAGGAAATAAAGATGAAACAACTAGAGTTGAGGTAAATTCTTGCTGCTAAATTGTTCTCTGTGATTTCTGAGTAGCTGAACATAGTTTTGGGACAAGTATGTGGTTTAATTCCAGAGATGTCTAGTTTGATCTTTTAAATAATTTCATTTGTTTTGTGCATTGTGTATCAGAATAGTTTCTGATAAATGCATCTTTTATCTTACAGTATGATTGCTTATTTTTTAATGTTTCAATGACTTCTAGGGAGCGTGCTCGTAAAAAGAAAGAAGAGGAAGAGAGACAAAGGGAAAGAGAGAGAGAAAAGGTAACTCTTGATTCAGATTTTGACGTTAGTTTGCATTAATGGAAGTCAATTGAATATTATTGTTGAATTACTTTCTGAAACCAGTGATGGTTGATTGATTGTATTAATAGTCAACTGCATTTTATGTTTCAACTTGTAATCAATCTAGTTGAATATGTTAGTGAAGTCGTTTTGCCTTCTGCTTCAGGAAAGAATTAGAATTGGTAAGGAACTCCTGGAAGCAAAACGGATTGAGGAAGATAACGAAAGAAAACGGTAAGCCTTAAACTTTGCTACCCTTTCTGTTTTCACCTTCAATGATTTCTGCTAATATAATTGAAATTTTTTACGCTTGCTGTATAGTATAATAGCATTGCGTAAGGCTGAAAAAGCGGAAGAACAAAGAGCTAGGGAGAAAATTCGTCAGAAGCTGGAAGAAGATAAGGTCAGGAACTCCAATCTATCATGAAATTTCGTCAACCCTTGTATATCTAGCGTGCTTGATGGAACTTGTCAATTTACTAATGTATAAAACACCCTTTGTCAATATATTTGATTTCACTTAAAAGCAGTACTATTTGTTACTATCTAATTTATAGCTATGCATCTAAAAAAGTTAAAAGAGTGAAAAATACATGTATTTTAATCTTATTATGTTTTGGTTTTAGGCCACTGATTGTTTTGTGTTGCCATTGCATTCAGGGGATCATGTGGAGAAAATGATCTGACCTAGATGGTCTCATTCTAAGTTTTTAAATTAAAAGAGACTGATGAAATTCCTGGCATACACTAGATTTGGAAATCTAAAAGATGTAGTTACGCCTATTGGGACTATGGTGACCTTCTTATTAGGTTCTTCTGGGTTGACGCTAAAATTTCTTTTCCTTTTGATTCCTGACTTTTTCTGCTTTTGGAAGTAACTAGAATCTCCTCCTCAAAAAAAAAAAGGTAACAAGAATCTGGCACACATACAAGTATAGTCCAGAATATGCGCGTATATAATGCATATCAGAGAGTTTCTTTCAGCGGTCAACATCTAATCAATATCACTAATTCAAATGATTTTTAAATTCCTGCACCAAATTATAACTCATGATCTGGATCACTTAAGTGCAATCCTCACATCATAGTTTACCTGCTTCTACTTTTTGTCATATTGAAACAATTGTGTTTACTTTCACAGGCAGAAAGAAGAAGAAAGCTCGGTTTGCCAGCAGAAGATCCTGCTTCCCCCAAACCTTCTGCACCTGTTGTGGAGGAAAAAAAGGTGTTTATTTATTCAAAAACTCTGTTTATTTGTCCCATTTGGACATATCTTGTCCAACTCAAACTTTTTGTATGTATTTTTGGTAGAGCTCGTTTTTGCCTGTCAGACCAGCTACAAAGGCAGAGCGGATGAGAGAGTGCCTGCGAACTCTTAAACAGACACACAAGGTAATCATTCAGTTGTTTTGGATCCTTAAAGAGTGTTTTCTTGCAAGTTTGAGCTTCGGAACTGAGAGGTGGTTCTAGGTGCACCACCTTATCTTTTATTTAAAAACAAAAGGAAGCTTACTTTTCTTCCGCCCTCAATTTCAAACTCAAAAGAGTAGAAAGCAAAGGACAACAGAGTCATAAGATAATGAATTTTAAATACAAGGATAGAATGGATGCTTCTTTTCCTTTCTTTCTCTTTCTTTCTTCAGTGTATACATTAGGAAGCTTTTTCTTTTGAAAAGTAATCAACAAATAATTCCAAGGAACTGAGTAGCCTATGATAGGCATGCTACATTCCTTCAATGGGTTTAGATATGAATGAGATGTCATTCTAACTTCATTGTTGGTGAACTGATTCTTTGTTCATTTTCCTCTTATGGTCCAGGACGATGAGGCTAAAGTCAAGACCGCTTTCAACACACTTTTAACTTACGCAAAGAATGTCGCTACAAATCCCAATGAGGAGAAATTCCGCAAGATTAGACTTAGTAATGCTGCTTTTCAGGTGAGACGTCATTAAGGAAATTTGTTATGTCTCTATTTTTGCTCTTTAGTTACTTCTGAACTCTGAAATTCTATAGGAGAAAACTCTTTTAACCCTTGCTTTTATAGCCTTGTTAGTTGGTTAGCTACATTCAATTGCTTTTATAGCCTTGTTACTTGATTATTTGCTTAGTCGATTATTTTTGCATGCCAAAATGCAGTATGATTTAGGACCCTTACCTCCAATTCTCTGTGCAAAGAGTATACCAATCCCCAATTTCTTTTGCTTCCCTACTTGTCAAAAAATGAAAAAAGAAACATTCTCTCCCTGGTTCTTTCATTTTTTAGTTTCTGAGTGGCGGTGACTGGTAAGGTTGTAATAACTTTTGCCATCCCATCTCGTTCTCAGTCCCTGGCTGAAGAAGGTGGTCTAGAGCTCATAAAGCTGGTGACGGTAGCAGCAATAGCCAATATTCAGATGTTTTAAACAATTAAGTAGAATCTTTTAATCTGATTCACAGACTCACAGAACTAACACACCTGCCTCTTTTGACGTTTTTTTTCAGGATAGAATTGGCAAGCTGCAAGGAGGCATCGAGTTTCTTGAGCACTGTGGATTTGAGAAAATTGAAGGAGGTGAATTCTTGTACCTGCCAAGAGATAAGGTGGACATTGCAGTGCTTAATACTGCTGGAACTGAGTTGAACAATGCTATTAAAAATCCCTTCTTTGGAGTCCTCTAAATTCTAATCTCATACATTAGTTAAGATGAATAGTGAAGGATTCTTCTTTGTATGTCCCAACCTTTTCCCCTTTGTTGAGTGAAGGTTACCTGAATTTTATAAACTGAAATTGTATAAGCTACTAAGATTTGGTGGAATCATGTTCCTTTTTGAACCATTTTTTATCTACAAGTTTAATGGATCAAGTTGATGTTTAAACTTTTCTTTTCACTTACCCACCCGCGGTCTACTAGAAACCACCTCTCTACCCCAAAAGGTAAGGGTAAAGTCTACGTATATCTTACCTTTTTCAGATTCCACTTGTGAGATTACATTGTGTATGTTGTTTTTCACTGGGATTGGAGCCCAGCTAATATGGGGTTGCACTTTAGGAATTTCAACAATTTGTTTAATTGAAACAAATTATGACCTTGTTCTCTCATATATTTCAATTCAAGTGAATTATGACGTTTGTTATATCTTCAGTCTGATTAATTCTTATCAAATTAGTATTCACAATTTGTGAGGGTCGTTCAAACTTCTAGCTTATGTAAGAAATCCTTGGAAAGTGTTCTCTATCTGAATGTTTTTTCGATTTGAAATCTCAGATGTTTGATTAAAGATGGAGGAATTCTATCTGTCCAACTATAACCTTTGATGGTGTTCATTATAAACTAGACATCCTTGCATGACCAAGAACAATGTAAATGTATACCTGATAAATTGACGTGAACTTAAAAACTCTAAATGGAGCATGGCTAGTTCCGCGATAACTTGTTCCCAACTAAACGAGCTCTAAGTCTTACTTATTCAACATTTTAATTCACAATTTGTTTCACCTTTAGTGTATATATATTTATATAAAATTTGTAATCCACTATTTATCAACAAACCGACCTTAGCTTAGTTGGTAGAGCGGAGGACTGTAGTCGGGTCAAATAAAACCCACAGGTTAATCCTTAGGTCACTGGTTCGAATCCGGTAGGTCGGAATTTTTTTAATTTTCATTTTTTATTTATTTTTTCGGCGCATTTTAGTAGTCTTTAACTTAACGTGCACCCCAGAATTCAGGTAAAACTTCGATCGGATTAATACTGTATTCCATTCAAAGCGAAAATCAAGAAATACAATCCTTAATGGTAAGTATTTTAAGGTTTTTAGTGATTTGATTATGTTGAGATGTGTTTGAATTGATTCTTGTTTAGATCCAAGATTTTAATTTTTTGTAGTTTCAGAATGTGTTTGTGCATTTTTTGAGCTGAGGGTGTATCGGAAACAATCTCTCTACACTCCCTTAGACCTCACTTGTGAGATTGCGCGGGGTACGTTGTTGTAGAATATATTAGTGAACTTATATTACTGTTGTGCACTTATTACTATGTATATGGTGAAAGTTTAGAGAGTGGGGGATCTTAAGAATTATGAAATGAATGAGATTTTAGATGGAATGATTTCTGAAAGGGGTTTGGTTGGTTAAAAATGTGATCTTTTTTTATGTGTGTGAGTAAGGTTTGCGTATACTTTACCCTCCCTAGACCCCTTTTCGTGGGACTACACGGTGTGTGTTGGGGGGTGGGGGTGTTACATGTTGTAAAATGCTGAGAAGTTGTAGTTTTGATGAATTTGAAGGAAAATTCATTACGATTGTGTCTGAAATGCATAAGAAACAAGCTCGAGGCAGCAATGTGTGGGTTTGGTTGTGTAAAAATGTAATCTTTTTGTGTGTGTAAGGTCTGCATACACTTTGCATACACTTTACCCTCCCCAGACCCTACTTTGTGGGACTACTTGGGGGCATGTTAGTGTTTTTTCTTATGTGTGTGTGTGTTGGGAGGGGGTTACATGCTGAGCAGTTATTGGTTTGATAAATTTCTAGGCAAATCCATTGCAATTGTATCTGAAATTCAAAAGAAACACGCTCGAGGCAGCAATGTATGGGCTTGGTTGTTTATAAATGTTATTTTTTCTGTGTGTGTGTTTGAGTAGCTAGGGTGGAGTGGGGGTACTTACTGCAAAATGTTGAGCAGTTATTGTTTTGATTAATTTCTAGGCAAATCCATTGCGATTGTATCTGACATGCATAAGAAATACGCTCGAGGCAGCAATGTGTCTTCAGGTATGTAGCATTCTACATGTTAAATATCATTAGAGATTTTTGCAGTTCTGTGAAAGAATACTAAATACTTAGTTGAGTCCTTTTAGTTGTTGTGTTTGACTTGCATTGTCATTGGCCTGAGATATAATGTTTGAGGTTTGTACACCAAGACATGAACGAAGTTTGGTAGTTTGAGACAATTTAAAGCATAATGCTATGATATTTTGGATGATTCGAGGCAAGTTGAGTTCCCATGCATCTAGGACATTCTGTTTACACTTATTAGTTTTAATTCCGGCAGTCATATATGCTTGATTAGAGAGTCCATATGCAGCATGTTATCAGCACTTTCCCACTCCTCTCCACCCCCCAACAAAAACAAATGTAGTCCGAATTCTGCATCCCATTGTACCATTATTATTATGATTTTCTTCATTGCCTTCTCTGCATACTGTTATGCTTCTTTAATCATATGTTATTCGCTCAGCCAACTAGCTTGGAATTGAGGAGTAGTTGTTACTGTGTGTTATTTCAGCCACCATATGTTTTATGTTCAGCCAATTAGATTGTTGCATTTGACATATCTTGATATTTATGAAAAAATAATTTGCTGTTAGTCATGCAATGAAGTGTTAGCTTTGACTTTTAAGCCCCTTCAACCATTTATTCAGTAAATATGATGTATTGGTTACTCTATACCTGTCTTAATATCTCCTTTTGTCATGGTTGTTGGCTGGTTGCAGAATTTCCCATGCCAAGAAGTAGAGAGGCATAACAAACCAGAGGTTGAATTAAAGTATGACTTCATGCTGCTGTCTCATTTTACTCAAAGTTAATGATGTCGGTTAGCATTACATAATTTTTCTCTTCTGTAATTCATCAAATGTCTTCACAGCATGTGGATTCCTATAACAGAAGAATTTCATGTGTATTCTTTTTACATATAGTATGACTGGATCCTAAAACATAAACTTTGACTTGCATACACATATCACTTCTGCAGCAGAACTTAATATTTTACTAAAATGCTGTTGTTGAGTTCTCAGCTCTTTAGGGAGAAAAACTTATACTGAATGCCTTTTATGGGCTAGAGGAATCGATGTGCAGCATTGATACAATGAGAAAAACATTTCTTACAACACATGTTGACTTTTATTTGTTACCTGCAAAGTGTGTAGATCAGAATAATAATGTTTTTCTCATTTTGTATGTTCTTCAGGACAAGCCCAGAACTTCTTCTTAATCCTGTAAGAACTGTTTTATATTCTTAAACTTTGATCTTTATTTTTGAAGATCTCTGTTCGACAGACTTTCATGTTCCCATAGTTTGCTCATCTGCTCTCAGTACAATCATTGCCAATCTAAATTGCATGTTACTATGACTCACTTATAGATGCAATTAAGGTTTCTTAAAGTAGTGATTGGGTGTTATTCTGTTCATGATATTTTTGAAGTGTTTAGAGAGTTCTTGCTTTTAGAGTAATATATTTTTTCTCTCATGATTAACTATTTGTCAAAAACCTGCTCACGAGTTGTTAATTTAGCTGCCAACACATTGTCGATAAGTTGCTTTAATGATGTAACACAGTAACAAGTTGTCCAAATTGGTTGGGAGGCGTTAGCTAGTATTAGATTAGGCCAGCTTACTTCACTATGAGTTTCTTGAAAGATGTAACAAGTTGTCCTAGTTGGTTGGTAACTCTAACTAATCTTATAATTAGGTCATCTAGCGTCACTGATGCAACTTTAGTCCATGATACTTCCCATTGGAAGAAGTTATGTTTCTTTTTTATCTTGATGGTAAACATGTTCTCCATAACTAGTTAGGAAGAAATAATCAATAATTTAACGTGCCAAAGAACTTAGTTATCTGTCCTGCTTTAGGTGTATAAGGATGAATTTTTATTTTTGTTTTCTGCTAGCACACCCTCAATGGTTGATCTGCATGCTTCTTTATAATAAATTACCAGTTTCTGCCATGATAATTTTAGATTTAGTGTAACTTGAAAGTTTCTGATTAATTTATTCATTTTCTTCCAATCCTGAATGTACAAGTTCTGAACTATGCCTCTAATGCTCTTATTGGTACTGTCTTTAGTCTTTACTTAGAATTCACGTACCAAATATTTGTTATTAGCTGCATGTCTTATCTCGATCTATTCAATCTTTCCCATGTACCAATTCACAGGTTACGATTTGTAGAAATGAGGCTGAAAAGTGCTTGATTGAAACATCTATTAATTCCCTAAGAATAAGTCTAAAGGTAGGTTTGCTTTGCTATTCACATACATTGATTCTTATATTCCTATATAAAGAGCAACTCAGCTACAAATGATGGTGCATGTTGTCTAAAAATATGTGCATAATTTTTTCTCATTTCTGCTTTCCTTCTTATAAACTATATTTCTCTAGTTATATTATACATCAGCTTCTCCATGCCAAAGGCCGTTGGCAAAGTATTCATTAGCAGTCCAGATCTTTCTTTGTAGTACCATACGCTACACAGACTGGTATAGAGATCAAATCATTAGTGTGTTGTATTTCAAATGAAATGGTAAAACAAAACTTGGGATTTGCCTACAAGAAAAATAGAATTTGCAAGGAACTTTAAGATTCTGGATTTTGAAAATCACTCGGAAAGAAAAAGCTTAAGCTCCTCATATGCTATTGTTGCTGTGCAGGTGAAACAATCAGATGAACTTGAAAATATACTAACAAAGAAGTTCCTTAGATTTTTGTCTATGAGAGCAGAAGCGTTTCAGGTGTTGAGGAGAAAGCCGGTTCAGGTTTGTATTTCTTTCCTCTTATATGCTGGATTAGATTTCCTTTCAACTCCTTGTAACTGATTCCATGCTTTTTGGCATGTTCTATAATTCTGTGTACTAAAATTATGCAGTCATGTTTGACAGAACTTGAATGACCAATTCACATCCCGTCCTTTTTTGCCTTCCTCTCTCTCACTCTCTCTGGTTTTACTTACCAACAACAACAACATCTAGGCCTTGGGGAGGGTAGAGTGTACACAGACCTTACCCCTTCCATTTGTTCATAATCGGATTTGTTTGCAGCCTCCATCTGATTGCCTCCCAGGCTTGGTTGATAACATAAAAAAGTGTTTAGTTTTTATCTGTATTAGTCCTAGATAGAGAGTAGCAATGTTTGGAGAATAATCACCTTTCGATGCACTCAAGTTTTTCCTTATAAAATAAAGTAGCAACTAAGCCTAAAGCCTGTGAGTTTATTAGCTGACACTGAATCACATATGTGTGTGTTAGACATAAATTGAGAATATTTTCTTTATCAAGGAAGATGATTTGCTTGTTTGTTTCTTGACCTACTTTTAATCATCTGAATTTTGCTGTGCGTTGTATTTCAGGGCTACGACATTAGTTTTCTCATTACAAATTATCATTGTGAAGACATGCAGAAGCAGAAGCTTATTGATTTCATAGTGCAATTCATGGAGGTACAATTATTAACCTCCACTCCCACCCCCTTAGGCCCAAGGATGAAGTAGCAGTGAAACCTCTGCATCAATCACTTGCGAACTTTTTGAAATATTTCAAGTCTGGATTCCGTGAACAATTTGAGGGTTGCTTGAACAGAAGTTAAAAGAAATTGGACCAAACCTTTTCTTCTAGATAAAAAAGATTGGTGAAGTTAGTAAAAATGATTTGCCTAAGGGTATTTGCCTCTATTATCAGATGCAAGGGGGTGTCTCAGTCCTATAGTTCACGAGTTCGAGCCATGGAATCAGTCACTAACGTTTGCCTTAGGGTAGACTGCCTACATAAAAGGGAGGAAACAATCTAGCATAAAAGATACTCTCCTCGAAAAAAACATGTATAGTTCCCTGTGGAAATGAGGACAGGATTTTCCGCCTTATTATTTTTAAAGAGAAGCTATATAAAACTGTGAACCATCTGCTTCTTTTGTGAAATTGCAGGATATTGATAAGGAGATCAGTGAACTGAAACTATCAGTGAATACGCGAGGGAGGCTTGTCGCTACTGAGTTTCTAAAGCAATTCATCTGATCTTTCGTTTTCGTTGTTTATTCTCTGTTCTATTCTTGTGACAACTAGAACATCTATTCATTTTTTTGTTCTCTGCTTGTAGCAGAAATTCTCTATTGTATTGCATCAATGAGATCTCTCTTTTTCTTCACTATTTGAGGAGCTGGCTATGGTAGAGTGAATTCTCAGTTATTAGACTTTGCAAATGAGCTATATTATCTATTGTAGTCATAATTTTGAGTTGATACATGGATTTAGGTCATAAACATGCTTAACGCATCTTCTTTTTTTGAGTTTCATACCTGAACTATGAGGTGCGTGAGTTTCCTACCTGTCCTATCACCGAATCCTTATCAAAACACATATAAACTGTCAATCGTCCACTTTTACTATCTGAAATATTACCATTGTTTAGGTTGGGAAAGTGACCAATCAATACTTGAGGTATATTTCGATACACATTTATTGATACACAGACAGAAAACTCACACACCTCATAGTTAGGGCTCGTTTGGTGTGAGGTATAATAACAAATAGTCCCGGGATTAAATTATAGTACCGCTTATTTTGTTGTTTGGTTGGCAAGTTCGGGATAACTTATCTCGGGATTAATAATTAGTACCGGGATAAGTTATCCCTCTCCTTGGGTGGTATAGTAATCCCGGGATAACTTATCCCGGGATAAAATAGGTAAATGACAAAAATGTCTCTTTCAACCCTTTTGTTATATCACTTTTTACATTAATGAAGGGCATTTTTGTAAACAAATAAATTATTCTTAAAATTTATTATTTTGAATACAACAAACCAAACACTCAATAAAAAATAATCCCAACACAACTTATCCCATCATAACTAATCCCAACATAACTTATCCCAACATAACTTATCCCATCATAACTCATTTTCAAACCAAACGACCCCTTAAAGTATAAAAACTCAAAAAACAACGATACTATTTAGGTGCGATTCTGACACCAAAGTTGCCAAAACTTTAATATGCTGTGATTTCAATACTACGTTCGCTCCCAAGGCGAGTTCTTTTCATTTGTACAAGTCTCGATAGACAAAGTTATACAATATCTATATCGATGGAAGGTGACTAAGTCACAATAATTAAGAAAAAACATTTGGTTCTGACAGAGAAGGCAGAGATAACTACTGCTTACTGTCATAATTAGTAGTATTTAATGATTATATAAAATAATAGATTGACTGATCCTACCCTTCTGACATTATAATCCTATTCTTATGCTTCTAGATTTTCTTTTATTCCTTTTTTTTTTTTGGTATGATAAAAAATTATATTATTCTTAAAACAATATTAACCCATAATTTATTAGTGCCTGCAACATGTTTTTTTAAATAAATAAATAAATAAATTAAATAACAGGTTAGGCATGTTGGTTACATATTACACTGTCTAATGCCGACAAATTCACAACCTACTATTGACCGGCTACTGCATGTGCTTCACAAAAAGGTGTCCTTTTTAATAAAAATAAACAATATTTTTTTGTCTTATATTAGTTGATCATTTTATTTTAAATAATTATGTAATTTATAAAAGTAAAATATAGTTAACTAAATTCTCTCTATTCAAGTTTGTAAAGTTTCGAAAAGGTTTCTTAAAGGTAAATTGGTGAAATTATTCTTCTTTTTACTCTATAATTTCTTAAAGAAGGCGTGGTAAAAAAATGAAATGAAATGAAGAGAATAGTTAGTATGAGTTAACATGTTAATCAATATAATACAAGTAAAAGTATAGTTAAAATGTTAAATACACGTGTCTTAAGTTTAGTCCACACAGAGATAACGAAATTGTAATATCAAATTATTTAAAAGAATGATATGATATGATATCGAATGTATTTTATCTCGAGATGGTTATTCTTGACGTTTGTAATGGTGAAGAGTATGTTGGATATGAAACATCACTGGTGACGCCAGTCATCGGGTCATCCTACCCCTAATTTTTTCTCTCCTCTCTCTCTCTCTCTCTTTCTGTGAGTTGGCTCCACACTCTGTGCACAACAAAAAGGAGGAGGAGGAGGTGGAAAAAAGATATCTTGGAAAGCTCCTTTTTTTTCATTTCAGCTGAATTTTCTCTCTAAGCTGCTGTTAACTTGCAGACCCTTTTGAAATGGCAGTGAGTTCTTGATCTAGTTTTATCTTGTGTTTTTGTAAATTTTTGAGCTGAAATTGGTTGTGTATTATGTATTCTGTGGAATGTTGGTTATGCTTAAATGGGGGGTTTTTTGTAAAGTTTGTGGGAGTTTTGGGAGTTGAAGGGTAATCTTGATTTAGTAGCTGTTGATTGATTGAGCTTATTCATGGTGGAAATGAGCTTGATTTGATTCATGGTATTGAAATTAACTTGATTTTGTCAAATGGGGTGGTGGGGGTGGGGTGTAATTGAATGGTTATGTGCATTTTGTGGAATTTTAGTCAAATCCAGCTAAATTATAGCAGGGTTTTTCTCTAAGCTGCTATTAACTTGCAGACCCTTTTGAAATGGCAGTTGTTGATCTAATTATCTTGTGTTTTGATAAATTTTTGAGCTGAAATTAGTTCTCTGTTCTGTGGAATGTTGGTTATGATTGAATGGGTTCTTTGTAAAGTTTGTTGAGGTTTTGGGAGTTAAAAGGATAATCTTGATTTAATAGCTGTTGATTGATTGAGCTTATTCATGATGGAACTGAACTTGATTTGATTCATGGTGTTGGAGTTAACTTGATTTTGTCAAATGGGGTGGTGGGATGGGGGTGAAATTGAATGGTTATGTGCATTTTGTGGAATTCTAGTGAGATCCAACTAAATGATAGCAGGGTCTGAGGTTCTTTCCCTCATTTTACATCTCAGCTGGTGTTAACTTCAGACCCTTATGAAATGGCAGTGAGTTCTTGATTCAATAGCTTAATGACTTTAGTTGATTGATTGTGCTTGTTCATGTTGAAACTGAACTTGATTTGATTCGATTCATGGTGTTGAAATTAACTTGATCTTGTAATGGGTGATACGGTTAAGTGCTTATGTGTATTTTGCTTAATTCTAGTGAAATTCCAAGGATATGGTAGTTTTAAAACTTGGGTTTTGCTGAAACTTAAAGCTAAACTATACGTATTTCCAGCTGCAATTAGGGAACTGTCAGTGTTGGTCTGTGGTTAATGTTTGTTGGATAATTGAAACGCAAAATCACTGGATCTTTCCTAAAGAAATGTGACTATAGAAGGGCATTTCAGTTTTTGGATTTTGTGGAATAGTACTTCTGAAACTAGATAGTTGAGCACTTGAGCTAGAAGTTGGGACTAGAAAAGATCTGTAAATCATTTAAAAGCGAATATACATGGATGGAGGAAATGACCAAAAACAACAACAACAACAACAACAACATACCTGGTGTAATCCCACAAGGGGGGTGTCTGGTGAAGGTGGTGTTTACGCAGCCGTACCCCTACCTTGTGAAGGTAGAGAGGCGTGGAGGAAAAGACCAAATCTAATAATAATGGATAGAGGAATGATAAAGACTGCAAAGATGTCATTGGATTTTTCATTGTGCTGCAATTATTTGAAATTGGTAAGTTGTAGAATTAAGTGCAATTTATGTGCTTTCTACAAGTCTGTGAAGTACAGCTATCTTTTAAGAAGATTGCCACTTGGTGATACGGTGATACCACTAAGCGATATGTTATATATAGTGGAATGGATTAGAGTGTAGTAGCTATCTTAGACACACAATGGGATGATGCTTATCTGCTGAATTGATTTCTGTCAGCTGGACGCTAGGTTGACACCAAAAACCTTAGCCTTCCTTATTTTACTGAAGTTCTCTAGCAAATGGAAATAGAGTGCACAATAAAGCACACATTTATTTGTTATGTGAGTACTGACTTAACTCAAGATCTTATCCAGGTTATGTTAGATGATTGATAGTAAAAGTGATACTGAGAGTTGAGAGGCAATAGGGTATTAAAATTAGAGTCTTTCATACTCCCTCCGTCCCTTTTTAGTTGTCCACTTTAGAAATGGCACACAGATTAAGGCAACAATGATTAGCACAGTGAAGTTACAATTTTACCCTTATGACAACTTTTCACTTCAAAATTACAACCACTTATTTGAATTAAAGTGAAATAAATTGGAGGGAAACAACATACACTTTTACAATTTTCAAGAAGTGTAAATAAGGGTATAATAGGAAAAAATTTGTTGTCCTTTCTTGATTTGTCAAAATGGACAACTAAATAGGGACAACTAAAAAAGGAAATATGGACAAGTAAATAGGGACGGAGGGAGTATTACTGAATCCAAACATCACTTCCCAGTCCGTTTTATTTGATTGCTGCTGTTTTGTCTCTCCAATTAACCATTCAACTTTACGTTACTACTATACAGTGTCGTACATGCCTTCTCTTCATTTACAGAGCCAGACCCATTCCTATTGTTATGTTACCAAATGTTGGACCCCTATGTTATGTTATGTATGCTCAAGAGGTCCAGTTTTGGATGTGCAAGATTGTTAGAGAGTCCCATATTGGTTGAAAATATGTACTGTTTTCTCCTACAAGATATTAGACTGTCCTCACTGTATGAGCTAATTTTAGGGGTTGATTTATGCCGGAGATCCATTTTCTTAACAATTATCTGCTTTTCTCTAAGAGTGATGTTTACAATTAATCTCCTACTTCTTCTCTGTGTTCAGTCTTTCATAGGAATGAGTTCAGCTCAATGCTTACGGCATCCTAGAGTCAAGTGATGAATCTTCAACCTGACACTTAGAGCCAAAAACTATGTTAGGTTATTAAAATACGGTGCTCTGTAGGGCCTGTTGTTTAATTTTGGCTGGAGATGGCCACTAATGGTTGATATACCTATGCTTTCTTATTCAGTAGGCAAACGATATTAAATATATAATAAATAAATATGTCTCATTACTAATGGATGATGCAACAGATAGTCTAATAAGCACTTCATTGTCCAAGATAGCAAGTGTTCCCCTTGGCATATATATGATGTATAACATCTTTGTTTTAGTGAGTTTGTCGAAGGTGATAGTTTTGGTTTATTTTCAATATTGGAGGTTTCCTTAGGGAGCTTATTATAAACCAAAACTTAGAAAATTGGTCCATGTGAATTCCAAAATAAGACCAGATCAGGTTCACACATAATGGAATGCATAGAAGCCAAGTTTTCCCTAGATAGTCTTTACTTAAGCTTATTTTACCAGGTCGTAGAAATTTGTTTTGCGATACACTTTCTTAGGTTTTTGGTTTTCATTCCTTTTACTTGTATATCTAATTGAATGGAGCGTGGGCACTGTCTAAGCTATGTTTGCGACATGAATGTGGCTGCATATTCTTGCAGAAGCACTCACAAGTACCAAAATTTGGTGAGTGGGAGAGCGATGAAGATGTTCAATATACTACCTATTTTGAGAATGCTGCTAAGGGTAAGAAAGGAAGCAAAATGAATCCAAATGATCCTCAATATCTTGAGGCAAAAGTGAAAGGTGAAAATGGAACAGATAGTGTACGACAGAAGTCGGAACGTATTGCCAGCAGAGATGATGTAGAATTGCGGAAATCAACTGGCTCCCCAATGCATCCAGACACCATGGGTCACAAAGTTCCAACTTACCCATCTCCACAACGACTTGGTGAGAAATATGGAGGCAACAAGTTAGAATCAGAAACAATGAAGGGCCCTGAAATCCTAACACCAAGGCATGAACGTCTGCCAAGCCGAGAAGAGGGTTACCTGAGGAAACCTACTGATTCCCCATTGCGCAATGAGAACATGGGGAGAAGAACACCTATGGAATCACCTCATCATCGCTATGGTGGCTTAAGTGGTGGTGCTACACCTAAGAGGGCCTCTCAGCAAAGTGTGGGACCTGATCGCAGCATTGAGCATTCTCCGCTGCATCCACATTCCCATGGAAGGACTGGAGGCAAAGGTGGTGTTGTCTCCTCTCCCTCATGGGAAAGAAAGGCTTCATCTGAAGGTACTCATGGTCTGGCTCCCTCTACACCTGGAAGATCCCGTTTGAGATCAGTTGCAAAAGGTGATGACACGGTAGGTCTTTTTGTCATTTTCTTTCCATTGACTTTCAGAACTAGTATGATTATACACTTGTGCAGCAGTATTAGTAGGACCCGTACCAAACTTACAAGAATGTAAAGAAAAAGATGAAGTCACTTCCTTTTCTCTTTCCTAAATTAGTAAGAGAGAACTTGTAGTGAGAACAAATAAAAAGTTTTCCATTCCAAACCTTCTGAAGGGAGATTATTTTTGAACCTTCATGATTGAGAATTTTATACTACTTTCCTATTTTACTGTTCCGCTGACTGTAGCAAAGAATGTGTAAGCTTACTTCAAAATAAAACGAAAGGAAACAAAAAGAAGAAAAAAAGGTAAGTAATCATGGTGAGAAAAGGGTTGCTACTGGGACATATTAATTAAACTATCGTACTAGCCAACATTATCATCTTCTTTGATTTTCAATATATATGGCAACAAATAGTCACAGACTGCTTCTTTTAATATAAGTGTATTTTCAGCCTGATGACAGCCCTGCTGTTCCTAAATTTGGTGACTGGGATGAGAATGATCCTGCATCAGCAGAAGGTTACACGCAAATATTTAACAAAGTCCGAGAGGAGAAGCAGACTGGTTCAACAAAAGTACCTTCCTCATCAACTGATACATCTTACTCCAACAGTCAAAAGCGATATGGAAATGACAGTGGAAAGGTAAATAACTCATTAGGTTTTCCGATATACTAACCTCCTCTCCAGGGACCAGCAGCGGCTTCTCCCATTTTCCTTTAGTGACTCTAACCCCCAACCTCATTGTATGCAACTCATGTGTCTCAGACCAAGCTTCTGGTCACTCTTTTCTTTCTAATAAAAAAGGGCAGCTCGGTGCACAAAGCATCCCATCTGATGTAGGCAGCAGTATAATTGTTTGTGAAACCTCTTACTGATCGTTCTAGCAAAGCATTACTCATTTGTTCATAGACCGTTTTCTAACGTCTCCTTGTTGCTGTTCTTCACAGGGATGTTTGTGCTTTCCATGGGGTCGGAGTTGACAGTGCTGAGGATGAGATTAACAAAAATGCACATGGGCATGTACCCTATTTTAAAACATGGAACATTGGTTATGTATAGATTTAGGTCTCTTTAGTATATATGTTGTTCATTGTGTGCTTTAGACTTGAATATTTTAATTTACAAACCAGAAAAAAGATTGAGAAAAGGGAAAAGAAAAAAACAAAGAGAAAATAACATTCTTCTTATTCTGCCATCCATTTGTTGTTGGCTTTCTTCTTCATGGAGATTTATCCAAGTTATCTTTATATTTTGCATTGTTTTTTTTAAATCCCGAGCTCCCATCTTTTTGCTCTCTTGATGACTCGAACCAACTACCTTAGGGTTGGAGGTGGAAGGTGCTTATCATCTCTCGTCCTTTATATTTTGTAGTATTTCTATCTGGCGAGTATATTTGTGAATGCAGTTTCATTTACTTCCACATTAATAAGTGTAAGCTTCACATTAATTTTGTAATCTAGGCATCTAGCTTTTGTTCAATTGTTGCAAAAGCATATCTTCATTAAATGGAATTGTGGTGGAAATATCAACTAGAGTTTAAAATTATACTTTCTAAATATTATTAGGAGATATATCTAGGCATCGTAACAAAAACAACACGAGCTATTGTGTTATCTAATAAAAGTTATTTTTTTCGTTCAACCATTTGGTATCTGAAGCCCATTAATTCCTTACTATAATGCGCTTCCTATTGAAAGGTTCTCTACTCTCAACACTCGAACCTAAGACATGTTAAGGGCGGATGGATTGTGTTACCTAATTAAAGTTATTTTTTCGTTCAACCATCTGATAGCTGAAGCCCATTAACCCGACTAGTAAGGATTTGTGCTATATGACGAGAGCGGGGATACTACTACTCTATTCTCAACACTCGAACCTAAGACGTGTTAACGGTGGATGGATTAGCACAAGTAGCCAATGTGCTCATACCAAAATTCCCTTACATACAATAGTGTATGCTTAACAACTACTAGACAAATTAACTAATAATATTTCAATACATATTGTACTCATGCCCTATATACACAATGAAATTGTTTACCAAGAACATTTTTCACATCCATTTCTCTTCTCACACCATCAGTATACATCATTCAAAAGAAGCATTTCAAATCATGATCCAAACTTGAAATGATTTACTCAAAGTCAACATAACACAAGGAGGAAGCATCTCAATAAACTGTCAAAAATCTTTGCCCTTTTTTGGCCACAGCTTCACATAGAATTCTATTGTTTTTCTCCACACAAGAAATGCTTCTATCCTCCATAATACAAAGTACAGATAACACACAACCCTTGTGAAGTTTTCTTCAAACCTCAATAATTTCTTTCGAGTTTTCGTTCGTCGCCTTACTTTCTATGTCCTTGTTTTTTGGAAGGAGAATAGCATTTGTTGATTGACTATTCCCCATGTCCTTGGTTTTGTGTAGGAGAAAAGTACCAGAGAGGATAGTTACAAAGCCACACAGTTCTGTTATTATCTGTGTTGCAGTCTGATGATCCCAGTCCTGCATTCCCACAAAAAAATAGCTGTCAAGTTTGGAACTTTTCTGCTATCTTACTCAGACTCTCCGAAAATGTTGTTCCACCCGTGTCAGATCCTTCAAAAATGTACTACTTTTGGAGGATCCAACAACGTAAGAGTCTGAGAAACATAGCTTTTTCCAGATGAAATAAACACAACCAAGATTACAGTAAGACATGATTGTAGTAAGAAATGATTATGACTATCTATGCAACTATAACAAAGGAGATGGCGTCCAATATTACAGAAAGTGGATAACAAATGATTCAAGTTCAAACGCGATTGAAGATTTTTGCTTCCAGTATTACAGAAACTCGACATGATTATAGTAACAAATGATTCATGTCGCGCATCTGTAAGAAGTGAGAGTTGATAAAACTAAAGAATGCTGAAAAGAGAATCAAGAAATTGTTGAATCACCTTAAACATTATCATGCTGGCAAGTATGGTCAGTGTTGTAAACATGACATAGTATACTGGAGAAACCACTGCAGTATTAAATGTGTCGAGTGCCTACAAAACACAATAGTTGAGTAGTAGTTAATATTACGAAGATAACTTCCCCTACTCTTCAAAAATATCATCTGGTGCGTGTCAGATGACAGATCCGACATGGATGTGACAACATCTTTGGAGACCCGAGCAACATAGCTTGAAACTACAAACTATTAACTCTGTTTCCCTATGAATCGGTAGCTCACATCAATCATCTAAGTGGTAAAACTAAACAATTTCGTATATATCTCAGATGGAACGTAAATTGGACTGGACAATTTGCTGTTTGTCGATACAAACTTCTAAATTCGCGCTTAAACTCCACTAGACTTTTTGGTATGTAATTTCTCATTTTTATACAAGGTGCGAGAATACATTAAGCAATGCTAACCTATGTTGCTCGGACTCTCCAAAAATAAGGATCAGACACACAACTGTCAATACTTTTGAAGAGTTCGAGCAACATAGATGCTAACAGAAAGTTCATCAAAAGGCTCTCTAAGAGAATTAAGCAAATACCTTGTTCAAATAGTTCAGCTGCAAAAGGCAAAAGATGATAACAAACACAGTAAATAACCATGTCTGGTAATATTTGAACTGATTCTTTCCTTCAAATGTGAGCTTTAGAGCGATTCCGACTGCTTTCACTCCCATAACCTGAGTAATCACAAGAGAAAACACGAGCGATAAGCATATGAAAGAACCATGAACTACTGCAGGTGCAAATACATGAAAAGGAGAACATACTGACCGTGAGAGACCCCGTGAGAGAACAGATTCCGATGTAAATGACCATATACCTCTGCCCGTATTTAGGCACAAACCGGAAAATAAGGACAAGCACAGCCACCACGACTACACATGTGTATATAATGAATCCTGTTCTTCTCAAAAACACATGTGTTAAGCAATGTTCCAACTTAAAGGATTTCACAACATAGGGAAACGCCAACGCTTGTAAAGGCAACATTTACCACCACCCTTACTTCTCTACTACAACAACAAATGTGTTTCTATCCTAAGCAAGTTGGGGTCGGTAATATGAACTTTCACTGAAAATGAAAGAATGTAACTGAGATTGCGTTTTGGAAATACCTGCTTCTGATGCTAGGTGCCAAACGTCCATGACGGATTCAATTTTCCTTTCCAGAGGAGCATGTAAGACAATACTACTAGAGCCAACCAAGCAGAGGACACAACCAACAATCCCAAATATATGCAGTCTCTCCTTCAAAATAAAATGGGCTAACACTGCGCTGCAAAGGAAAATTATATGAGTTTTGAAACTAAAACAAGCTTTTCCGAGTCATATTTTACCCTAATAATGCTACACGATTGCATACCTCACAATTATACTTAAAGCCCCTAGAGGAGTCACAAGAATTGCCGGGGCATATGCATAAGCAGCAAAGTTAGCCCCCTCTCCAACGATCACTGCAAGCATACGTTAGTTTAGGATTACATAAAACTGTAACAGTAATGAACTAGAGACTCAAAGAGAGATCAGAAGCAAGACTCGGCAATGAGAAGGCAGAACCAAGGTGCTACACTAAACAAGGCGTTACCTGGGAACTTGAAATGGCTTAGACTTACTCATAGGGTTAACACGACCTATGGATGGGGAAAGCAAGCCAGCTAACTATGCATCGGAAAGCAGGCTGTGGCCAATAGGCTAACCATGAATTACCTTAATACGGATAACTAAACATGTCGTTGTTATAACAGAGTTAAAAGTATTCGTTAATCTATCAAGTGACAAGCATAATAAGAATTCTAGCACCTCCATCGATCTATGTTCAAGAATATGCATATTTTCCAGGAGCATCATAAAGAACAATCGTAGCTAAACAAGATACCAACGTCTTTTACATACGCTGTGCTTGATCATTGTTACAGGTAGAGATGTCTGCGTAAAGTGAAAAAAGAAACACATAACAATAACATACATTTAAGTTTGAGTTACGACTCTTACTAGTTAACATCCCAGCCCACCACATTGGTTCCAACAGATACGAGTGTCCTCCTGAACCTGTTCAAAAATTAAACACACGTATAAATCTTAATAACAGAACTCGTTTATCCTAGCATCGATTAGAAACAATAGAAAAACATAACAAGCAAGATGTTGAATCCTATACAACCATATCGACATATGTTCAAACTCCCTACGAAAACAGAAACTAAGTCATTTCTTCCCAATTCAGACATTTGTATACCACAAAGACTTTAGAGGTCTTCAAGTCGAATATATATATACTATATGCTGAATCCCCTTCGCTTTTTTTCTGTGCGTACTTCTTTATAATTTAAAATCCCTTTAGTGAAAATCTTGACTCAACCACAGTATTCTACATGGCATGAACTCTACATACAAGTATTTAGACGGTTATAAAGCAAGAGGAAGAAAACAACATGTTGCATACGCAAGTGAGGAACACAATAAAAAGGAACCAATTCCGAGTCTCTAAGGACAAATTACATGTCCATGAAGGGGCGTCATACAACACCACTTCACCTTGTACAAGGGGTGTCATATGACACCACTTCGCCATTAATTCACACACACACACACACACGCCTCTAATAGACCGAAATCGCTTGAAACAATACAAAGTAAACATCATTAAAAACCTTAGAACTTCTATGTACGGGCCCACAACTAAACCTACATACAAGCTACGAGTTGTGATAATAAGCCGATACTGCTTGCACAAAATGTTACATTACACAACTATGTAAACTTGATACACATAGACTATATGATCCGATATCAACATAAGCAAAATAAAGCCAACATTTATACAAGGGGTATCATATAACACTACTTCACCTTATACAACGCGTGTCATATGACACCACTTCGCCATTAATTCACACACTCGCACACATCTAATAGCTCGAAATTGAAATTGCTTAAAATAATGCAAAATAAACATCATTTAAACCTTAGAACTTCTACACACGGGCCCACAACTAAACCTACATACAACTTGAGTTGTGACAATAAATCGACACTGCTTGCATAAAATGCTACATACACAACTATCTGAACTTGATACACATAGACTACCCATAACCCGACCCAAATCAACAAAAACAAAAATAAACTCAACATTTACACATCAAACTATACCCAAAAAAAAAATATTGCAAAGGGTTTACTTAAAAAAAGTTAATTTAAGCAAATAATTAATCAAGAGAATTTTTTTTTACCTGCCCTGGTTCCTCCAGTTGC